AAAATATTTTGAACACATAAAAATGTAGAACAAATGATTGAAGCTTGGTACATCTGCAAGTGGGATAAATTTAATTAATAAATAATACTTTAATGTAGAAAAAAACACATTAATGAATTAAAATTGGTCAAAATGCACACTCTCTATAGAACCCAACTAGACTTATTAATCTTTTGAAAAATAAATAGATAATCAATCAATATAATAAATAGTCAATTGTCTGGCTTTGTGAGAAACTGCAAAAGGTGGCATTTTCCAAAGAACCAAGTAAAATGTAACTGTTTCATTGCACGCAATTGACACATGCCAAGTAAATATTTTTACAGTGTTCCTAACCTTCCATCCGGTTAAAGAAATGCAGCATTATATCTGCTCATTAACATAGTTGCACCTCCTCGCTCTCCGAGGATTCTGACGAGCTCTGCAGATATTCATAGCATCCCGCTAATGACTTTTCTGAAGATTGTCTCACATCTTAATTACTTTGCTTTACCTGCTAGACAAGTTCCTTAATCCCCTTTACATAACTCTGACTCCAGAAGATTAGCCAAAATAAGTTCCATATCTAATTAACCCGAATGCTCCCCTCAGTGGTTTTCAACTCCCATTCTTGCTTTGCATCCAAGACCCTATAAAGCCCCTTCTGAATTGTTTCCTGTTGCCATATCGAGTCATTCAAATTGAGCAACTTAAATGCCTGGAGATGCCATGCAGATTATGCGGGAGACTCTTGTTACCCCCTAAAACTATAATGACTGCAGACGTGAGGACCGATGTGCATTAATGATTGTGGTGTCAACCGACAACATCTGTGCACTCTTAGAGCTGTTAGCTGCTGGGAATCTCTAGACACCAGAGCCAATTCAGAGCCATTAGCCCTGCTTTATCAGAGCGTCTCTTGACTGGAATGGGTGGATTTTCCAGGCTTCCATAATGTTCACTGTAGGATTGGAAGAGGGGGTGGTGTTAAAAAGGAAAGGGAATATTTGCTCTCAAGTTCGGAAATGTAAATTGAATAGAAT